TGAAAAATTTAGGGGGCGTTTACTAACAGGAAATTTCCGAGAATTTCCTAAAATTGAAAACAGAAAATAGTGTAGGTGTTTACCATTTTCTTTTTCCATTTTCAAAATAGAGATTTGTTCTCTATTTTAAGAAGAAAAGTGAAACACGCCAAAAATTTGTTTTCAAAATGAGAACAACACGCGTGAACAGTAATAAGGCAAAAGAGAACTAGTCATGGATTCCAACAAGTATTTTCTCCGAGATTTCTTTCTTTCTTCTCCTGTGTTCTTCAGAGAATAATGACAGCTTTTACTCTACCACCTACCACCCATCTACTTTGCTTCCCTCTTTCAGACCTTTACACCCACTCCTCCCTTTCCTTCTCTTTCAGACCTTCACACCCACTCCTCTATTTATTTCGTTTTCCGATTTGAGAAGTGTTGCCTGAGGAGGATCCAACCAGAGGTGCTGCTTGAGGAGGAGCCGTCGTCGCGGCCAACCTCCGGAGTCCACTGACCACCATCTACGAGAGGTGTTGCCTGAGGAAGAGCCGTCGTCGCTGCCGACCTCCGGAGTCCACCGCCACCGTCAGTCTCACAGTCCACAGTGTGAGATCTAAATATACAGAGCATAATCTACGAGAAACTTAACTCGTAGTAGCGGAAGCGGAAGCACTGTAGATCTCCAGCCATGGTTGATATCTTGTTGTATTGCCTCTTGAAGTAGATCTGTAGGGTTAGCCGTTTTGTCTCATACTTGACTCAGAACCCTAGATGGTGTATTGGTATTTTCTGAGCAGTATAAGTACCATATAATGAATCATGTATCTTGTATCCCATCAATACAAGCTTTATATAGGCACATTGGTGGATATAAGACTTAAACCTAAAGGTCCAACCCAACCAATTACTTAATGGGCCTAGTCCACTTGCACCACATAAGTAAGACCCATAATATATAATATATATTATACGGGAAAGTCTTACAGTCTCCCACTTGGTGCAAGTACTAGCACAATTCGCATTAAAGAACAAAACACAAGAACCATAGTAATATGTCCTCTACTGAATAAGTGAGTTATATCTCCTATGATCACATGCATTTTGATTCCCCAACTTGAATCCTTTATGAACAAACCCTATGTTTATTCCTGGTACCTTAAGGGATGTTTCTCAAAATAAAATATATATGCGCAACTTGAGAGAGAAAACCATCCAAATTGTACAAAACAATACGCTGTATGATCTCTAAGATCCTTAAAAGAATGCCTTAAGTAGAGATCTCTTAATGTTAGCATAATGCTAACTATATATTCCATGACTTCTTTATAAGTTAACATAAGTACTACCTCTAACGGCTAAGAGCTTGGAGTTGACACGTCTGTCACTCCCACTCATCAAAATAGCCAAAAGATAGTCCAAGTCACAGAAGCATTCCAATAACTTAGACAATAAACCAAAACTCTAAGTCCATAAATTTGGAATCTTAAACATACACCATAACTTCCCAAATAATCTTAAGGTCCACTTCAAAATGAACTGAACATTATGAGTCTTACTTTTATGTTTCTCAAAATTGTCTTGAGCCTAACAAACCAAAATGGCCCAGGATCAATTTTGAAGAAACTAAAGACTATTAAATGCCGAAGAATTTATTACTTAACAGTGCACCACAAGTTATATGTTTTGTTCTAATAAACTCCTCAATATTGTTACAACATTTTCATAAATATGTTGCTAAACCAATATGAATTTATATGAACAAATACAATATTAATACTTGTGGAATCTTTTGGACTTATTGTTTGACATACAATCCAATTTAGAATGTATGAAGCCCATTAAATCCAAAATCTTTAATGGAGTATCTTAATGATCTTTTTCTAAATGATCACTCCCACTGATTATGGAGTATCTTAATGATCCTTTTTTAAATGATCACTCCCACTGATTAAGATATTCTTTAGCAAAATTAATGATATACGTACTCATAATTGATTTGACCAACTAATTAATGAAGATATAATTCCCCACCATTAGTTGGGCATACTAAATAATAAATATATGATTCCAATTATAGTCCAACTAAAGGAATAACTAATGAGGACATGACTCCCCACCATAGTTGGACATACTATAATAAAATACACTTTCCAAAACCAATTGAAATTTGGCTCAAAAGGTACATTTTATTCTTGGAATCCAAAGAGGTATATTATATCACATAACTTACTATAGTTTATCCAAATAACCAAGTAAGTTCGTGAATTAATTAATAAAGGCGGCTAAATTTTGGGAAATGACTGAATACATGTTTTGCCCATGCAAACCATGAAACTTAGAATTATAATTGAAATAGATTTATAAATTCTAAGAAAATTGTGATAAAATTATTACCTAATGGGTTAAAGGATTTATTGACATAAAACCTGCATGTGAAATAAAGTTTTAATTCTATTAAATCCAACTAAACCCTTATGATAATATTTTATTTCAATTACTAAATAGACAGAAGAATCTGTGACATAAAACTCGCCTGTGGGCTAAAGTTTTACTCAATTAGATTCAACTGAAATTTTATGATGAAACAATTATCAAGTAAGTTGAAGAATCAAGTGACATAAAACTTGCCTGTAGGCTAAAGTTTTACTCAATAAGATTCATTACAACTATTATGAATCAAGTGACATAAAACTTGCCTGTAGGCTAAAGTTTTACTCAATAAGATTCATTACAACTATTATGATAAAAAACTTAAGAAATCAGGTTCCTTTCCTTAATCCCTGTGGGTAAATTAAGAAATATGATTTCAAATTTACATCATAAAATTAAACATTATGATAGAGATGAGAATTATTTACAAATAACCATAAAGTAAATAAAATTGATTTATTTCTATCATCACTGATAAAACTACTAAGCTACATTCCGATACATAATTACCTGTGGGCTAAATTATGACCGTAGTCCAGTATTTCATCCTGATTAAATATACAAATATAATGAAATTGCCTGTGGGCTAAATTCCATCATATCACATACAATTAATCACAAATGATATGTCCAAAACTGTATGTGATCAAGATAAACTGCTTAATATATAATTTTAACTGATTAAGGATGCTGTGGCTACTCCTCAACTCATTAAAATTATAAGATCACTAGACAATTATCATTGCCATCTTTATGTATTTTAAACCTTAGACAATTTTAGTAAATTAAAGATGCTGAGGCTACTCTTTAATTAATCTAAAATTGTAATCACTTGGCAAAAGGGGAATTTAAAGCCTAACAAACAAATTAAACCAACACATGATAGACAATTATTAGGTATACTCCCAGGAAAGTTGGTCGAGACGAAGCTCGGTTAAATACCAACTCCTTAGACAGAGTAGCGTCGCAAGGGGACTAGTAGCAACAAGGCTTTTAAGCCAGGGCCATAGAACTAGTATTCCTCCCCAAGAAACTTCCCTAAGTCATGCGTTCTCATGTTTGAAGTAAAATCGTTTGGGAGATCTATGAAATTGTAGATTCACCTACGGATAAGGCTTTAAATTGATGAACTAAATTAACGGACTAAACGTGCTTAAATTCAGGCACTACCGCAACTAAAGTTTATGCATTAGTCCAACTTAAATAGGAAGTAATATAAGTCCATCCTAAATTTATGCATTTCTAGAGGCATAAAAAAAAATTGCATAATTTAAAACAAAATAATTTATGAATATACATAGCATGCTTGAATTTTTACATATTAATATATACTAACCCATAAATCCTAAATAAATTGCAATACTTTAGGCAATTTAATATGCATCTCAATATTAAATTAAAATTCACATAGCAAATTCAATACTTAATATTTGCTCAAAATTGAATAATAATTTAATTATGAATTTAATGTCAAAATTAAAAGGAAACAAAGACATCAATATTCCAAAAAAACATGCAATTACTATCTATTTACCATTTGCCAATAATATACAATATTAAATTAGATAATATTTATATGGTAATAATTAACTAAATAATTACCCTTTACCAAATTAATATGTAATCATTAATAAGGCAAATAACATGTATGGTAAAAAGAATAAAGGTAATTGCATTTAATAAGGAATTGTATTTATGTACCAATACTCCGTCTTCTTCCCTGCTTTTACGGCCGGCGAGCTTCCACGTACACCCATACACCCAAACTGAATCAGACGCCACTGAAGGAGGAGAGGGTGCTGCGACGCCGTCTCACCTTGTTGCTACGCCAAAGCCTTGCCGACGTCGATCCAAACTTCATCGCCGTCGCTCACCGCCGGAGACCGAAACAGGCAATTAACAAATTCCTTGTAGTTGCTCAGAAAAGTCACAAAAATAATTTCAGAAAAATAAAAGAAATTAAAATTGTGCATATGCCAAAAAATAATTTTTAGCAATCTAAATATAATTCTTTTGAAATATACACAAATTATTATATCATACAACCAAATAGATATATGCATATTTCGAAAAAAAAATTAATATACAAAATATATACCAAAAACTCAATGTATATATTAAAAAAAAAATTAATGTTGATTAAAGCAAAACAATCAACCAGGCAGAGATTCATAAAGGCTCTTGATACCAAATGTGAGATCTAAATATACAGAGCATAATCTACGAGAAACTTAACTCGTAGTAGCGGAAGCGGAAGCACTGTAAATCTCCAGCCATGGTTGATATCTTGTTGTATTGCCTCTTGAAGTAGATCTGTAGGGTTAGCCGTTTTGTCTCATACTTGACTCAGAACCCTAGATGGTGTATTGATATTTACTGAGCAGTATAAGTACCATATAATGAATCATGTATCTTGTATCCCATCAATACAAGCTTTATATAGGCACATTGGTGGATATAAGACTTAAACCTAAAGGTCCAACCCAACCAATTACTTAATGGGCCTAGTCCACTTGCACCACATAAGTAAGACCCATAATATATAATATATATTATACGGGAAAGTCTTACACACATACCACCGCCAGGCTCCAAGTCCACCGGGTAGTGCTACTGCCGGCCCATCCACGAATTTCCCTCTGTAATCCATCTCTCATCGCGGCGGTTCGTTCATCATCGGTCAGTTCACTACTTTGATTTCTCTTTCAATGTCAACACTTGTTTGTCTATTGTGCACCGGTCGTTGATTAGCTTATGCGTATGAGTTGATTATTTCTTGTTTTTCTAGATTTTGTTCTATTCATAAAATAGAATATATTGTTTATCCCTCAATAGGACAGCAGGACAGCATATTGTTCTATTCATAAAATAGAACAAATTGTTTGAAAAAGAGGCTTTCTGTACTTGTTTGAATTTCTAATTTTTGATATATGTTTTGGGATGACTTGATTTTCTGGAATGGAGGTATATAGAGGGCATCATGCTTGGTGGTCTAGAGTTTTGGAATACTAATAAGTTGTAGAGGAAGCTCTGGAAAAAGATTCACAGCAGCTTCTGCTATGTTCTAACTCAATCTCTGGAAACTGAGATGTTACGGTGAGCTGGAGTCGAAAGGTGAATTGTACTTGAGTTGCAGCAACAGCCTAAAACTTTTATAAAGTTGAGAGCTACTGCTGCCATGAGATTGATTCCACTTTGGAAGAGGATGTCTCATGTGTTCTCTGCATTGTGAAATTGTGGAGGCATAGGGAGGTCCACCTAGCTTGGTAGACTCTAGCTCTTTGAAGGGTGGTTAGAAGCAATGGTTTTTATGATTGATTTTGAGAAAAATCTCCAAGTCTCTATCTGTGTTTGCTCTCCAAGTCTCTGTCTCTGTTCTAAGGGTCAGATGGAGTTTAATATGAGAAATGCATAAGCAGAAAGCCAAGTAATGGTGAGGAAAAAAAATTGAACTGTTTATTTATTATCTGAGGAAAAAAATTGAACTATTTATTTATCCATATATATTAAATATAAATTGTATTGGGTAAGTTCAACACAGATTTACATTCTAATTATTTGGATAGTTGAATGGATTAAGTTTTTCTGGCTTGTTATAAAACTTTAATGGGAGTGATTTATATCAAAATTTAATTAGCTTCAAGCTTACTTGTGGTTTCAAGTGATGCAGATGGGTTTATTTGGCCAACTAGGCCTGAGAATTAATAAGGGCCAAATGGCTTTGGCAATTTGCCTTGGGCATTTAAATTTGTTAGCCTATTTAGGCTTTAGTTTGCTAGCCTTTTAGGCTTTTTTGTGAGCCCCTTGGGCCTTTTAGGGTATAACTTGACAATAATGAGTAAACTACACTTTTCAATTAGTCACCATTCCCAATTAGATGTACCAAAAAAATTTATGTAATTGGTGTTCATGTTTGTGTGATTTTCTAATTGTTTTAATGGAGTGAACTCGGATTTGATTAGGTGGCTTATCTCATGATTATAAGATAGCTTATTCACCCCAAAAGACGGAGTCACCAAAATCATCGGTTGGATCGTGCTCATCACCACGTTCCAGAGTAATGTCCTTTCTAAATCTTGAAGATTTTATGCTTTTTCATTATATTCATTATCTTCATTCTATGTTCCTTGCCAATTTAATCTTTCAATTATTTCAAGCATAGCCAATTTAATCATTTCGTAAAATTTCCCTTTAATAGTCATTCAAGACATGACATTTTAGAAATTTCACAACCCACTAATTATTTGCACCAATTGGCTCATATTATCTCATGGGTATGGTGTTTGGTTGGGGAATGCTATGGTGTTAGGGTAGAAGATTTTGGCATGCGGAAGGATGAAAGAAATTTGAGGATCAAAAAATAATTCCTTAAACGGCGGTTAAAAGAAATTATGATTGAAATAATTGAAAGATTGAATTTCTTAAAATTGAAATTCGAAACTACATTGCATATCCATCAAATCGTCAATAATTGAGGGATTGAAACTTGAAAGTGCGATTTCCACTTTTACCACAATATATATATATATATATATATATATATATATATATATATATATATATATAACAATAAATAATTCTTACCATTGAACTTCTACTTTTCAAATTTAATTACAAATTTATATATATTAAGGAAAAAGTTTGTCTGTATATCAAATTTTTTTACTTTATTTTGTTGAAAATTTTTGTTTATTTGTTTTTTTTTTAATTTTATTTTTTCATATAATATATAATGTGAAAAAATGGCATTAGAATCTTAAATTTTGAATATTAGGTCCGTTTATTTCAGTTTTGTATACTACTCTGACCAAAATTCTGTTTTTTCAATCATTAATCAAGAATACATAATATTGTTAACCAAGGATCTTAGTGATAGGCCCGTGATATAATTTGCCTATGTATTCACAACACAACAAAAACAACTGCAACATTCACAAAATATGTATATCTCATGCATTTTTCTCTCTAAAAAAAATGTATATCTCATGCATAATAAACAAAGATTGGAACTGTAACTTCTCCATTGTTTTAAGCATATGCCAAATCTCAAGCAAATAGTTTGTATTCATTTGAAGAACAAGCAGCTGGTAAACTAATACATAATTCACAAACCTGCAAATATAGAAAGCTATAAATTCTAGATTTACAAATCATCACTTACTATTCAAATATTGATCACTTACTAGATTCAACTGTATATTTATGTTTATATATTATACACACAACACATCATTGAAAACGTGTGCAGGTCCCGATTAATTCTCAAGAGTCTTTCCCTTTCAGCCTTCTTCTGTGCCCTTCTAACAAACAGCTTCTTTGATCCTGAGATTGATGACAATATGAAGAAATTACATTAGCATATAATCACCAGGACTATGTGGTCCAATGGTACCCGGGTTGGATTTCCATTTGGAAGATTGTGAGTTCGAGCCTCAGTGGAGGTGTTATTAGCTCTTTGTGTTTCAGTAGGTTGAGAAAGTATATGAACAGATACTACAATGTAATAGAGCTCGTAGCATTCAAAAAAAAAAAACATTAGCATATAATCAAATTCGAAACGCACGTGAGAAATACATACATATATAATAAGCATCAAAGCATGCATTGCATGTACCTATTAGTTCACCATTAAGAGCCTCAATCCTCCCATATTTGGAGAGAAGATTTGGAGACTTCTCTCTTAGGAAGTCCTCTGTCATATTGTAACTGAAATTTTTCACATATAGATTAGTGAACTTTTGCTCTTTATTAAATGCATCCATCATCCTCTCTTCTTTCTTCTTAAATGGGGACACATCTTAAAAACACCAAACAATTTTAACCAATTAGCTAGACTTTTTGAATGAAAGAATACTCTGAACCCAAAATCTACCAGATGAAAGAGCATGCAGGTTCTAAATTCCAAATTCAGAAACATATAAAGAAAGTTACACGAATTGAAACCTAACGAGTTCTTAATGGATGAACCCGTTAACGATCCCCGGGACAAACACTAACCAATTATTTTCGTGTAGTGTTAATGGAGGTTGTGTAATAATTGCCAGGTAGTAAAAAGGGAGTAGGCAACTTACAACTTCTTCCCTTCAAACACTGCTCCATGGAGGGAACTGATAGCAGAAATGGCTGAGTTCTGTGTTTCAAAGTGAACAAATCCAACACATTTGCTCTTTCCATTTTTCTCCTCGACGACTTTGCAGGACAGTATTATGCCATATTTGCTAAACATGCTCTCTAATTGAGCACTGGTGACGGAAGGAGCAAGGTTCTTGACAAAAACATTCCCAATCCCATATTTTCTTAGCTCTGATTACCTTTGCCACCACATAATCCTCATCGGCTTTCCTCTCACGGTTTTATGGTTTAGGCATGCCAGAGCCTTTGAAGCTGATAAAAAAAAAAACATAAATAATTATTTGCGAATTATAATCATTCAATCAAGACATGAAAATATATGTTAACTTTAAGTAAGACTTAATTTTTTTTAGGTGAGTGGAGCCTGTAAAATGATAGTTTATCAAATTTTTTTAGAAATATTTTTATTAAAGAAAATTCAATTTCTGAAACAAAAATTTATTTTCACTTTGTATTAAAAATTGTCCCAGAGCCTTCCAGTTCATATATAATCCTCCTATATTTTCTCTGGGAGTGGTGTGTATCTTATCAGGTTAATCTCAACCTTCATTTAATGCTCATGTCTCCTAATGATGAAAAACATCACCTTTTCATTATTCCCATATACACCCCTTCACTCTCTACCGTTACCAGCCAAACTTTTGGGGACAAAATTGAAAAAGAGTTAATTACTGAAATGGTCCCTTGACTATAGTGAAATTACCAATTTAGTCCTTGAGTATTTTTTTTAACCAATTAAGTTCCTCAACTTTAAAAATCTTAACCAATTTGGTCCTCCGTTTGTATGACCATTAGTCAACCGTTAACTTGTGACCAAATTGGTAATTTTACTATAGTCAAGGGACCATTTTGATAATTAACTTTAAGGGTGGGCAATTCGGTTTAATTTTCTCGAACTGAACCGTACCAAACCGAACCGAACTAATTTGGTTCGGTAATATACCGAACAACCGAACGGTATTAGATTCTTGTATACCGAACGATTCGATAAAAAATCGATCCGAATTGTTCGGTAAAAAATTGAATTGAACCGAATATTGTTTGATTTTTTTTTTAATAATAATAATAATAATAATAATAATAATAATAAATAAATAAATAAATAAATAGATAAATAAATAAATAAATAAATCCAAGTCCTTTACTGCTTGCTCTGCCGTTCAGCTCATAATCTCACGGGTATCTCTCATAAATGTTTTATTTGATTTCTTTATGGTTTGTTATCAAAAGTTCTATATTATGTGTTATGGTGTTTACATAGTCCATATCTAAAGTCTAATATATAACAAAATAGCAATCCAAAATTCAAACGGTATTCGGTTCGATTTTTACCGAACAAATTCAATTCGCTTCGAGTTTTTACCGAACTGTTCGGTATACAAGAATCTATTACCGTTCGGTTGTTCGGTATATTACTGAATCTAACTAGTTTGGTACAGGTTCAAGAAAACTAAACTGAATTGCCCACCCTTAAAGTTAATTACCAAAATGGTCCCTTGACTATAGCAAATTACCAATTTGGTCCCAAGTTAACGGTTGACTAACGGTCAAACAAACGGAGGACCAAATTAGTTAAGATTTTTAAAGTTGAGGAACTTAATTAGTCAAAAAAATAGTCAAGGACCAAATTGGTAATTTCGCTATAGTCAAAGGACCATTTCGGTAATTAACTCTTTCAATTATATAATTCTTTGAATATCAAAATTTTATGACCTAAACACCATTGTTATATAAGTGGAACATCACCATCAGCTCCTGCAACTGCACTCAAATATTCAATACTATAAGCAATTTGGTTTTTCAGCTAGAATGAATTCCACAATTCAATCTTAAATTTTGTTCTAAGGGAAAATGTCATTTTTCATCTTTGAATCAGAGGAAAATAACATTTTTGACCCCCCTTAGCCTGCAAGTTGACATTTTTAATCCAACTCTAACAAAACTCAAGACGACGAAATTTGACTATAAATATAATTAAAGGACGAAAAGTGATATTCTAATTCATGAAAGATTTTGTCATTTCAAATAATTAGCTCTTTAGCACCACAGTTTCACGATCTAAACATAATTGTTATATGAGTGGAACATCAGCTTCAATTCCTGCAATTGCACACTTTGGTTCTTCAGCTTGAATGAATTCCACACTTCAATCTTTAGATTTGCCTAAACAAAATATATGGCAATGGTTTAGTTGACATTAGTGAGAGACAACTAGGCGAACAGATTTCAGTAGGTGTAGGGCAAAGATATGAACCATAAATCCAAGAACCATTGTATAAACACAACACACCATGTATTCATAATTATCAACAAATGCATATTTAGTGAAATGCAAGAAGTACCGAGGACCCAACCCGCTCGATCAGCTCAATAAACTGCATTTGAATTTGCAGTCTGACAGAACGAGCTTCTCTGATTTTGTAATTGCATCCAGTGGGAGAGGACTGAAGCTTCGGGAGGGGCCATAGAAATGAGGAAAGACGTTAGAGTCGTCAACTGCTTCATAAACCAATCCATCTCCAAGCTGAAAAAGATTAAACTGACAACTATAAGGTCCACAAATTAAAGACAGTTTGTTCAACAAATTACCAAGACCAAAAAATCTCTCTCCTAGGTTGTGCAGAAACAAGAGGATGATCTATGAAAAGGTTGACCTTTTTAGCATCAACTTGCAGCAAGTATAGATCTTTGTTAACATTCACGAAAAAGGCCTGCAGTGTTGATTGAACCTGCAAGACCAGAATAAGTTTCAGACACTCAATAATGCCACCTTGAAAATAATATCCCAATCATAGATACTTGACGATAACCTATACTTGTAAAAACAAGAAAACATTGGCATGTAACTGGAATAAACTATCTACTGAGTAAACTCAGTAAAGAGACCAACACTCAAACGGTAGTATGCAATGTGCTACCAATACTACACTATATCAATCTATCATGGTATCAAGGGACTGTTCGATCTTGTAACCACAAGGTCACAAATTTGAATCCCAGCCCTCTTGCTTTGAGCCGGTCAGCTATGGACAACCTAGGCTAGTTTACTTCTTTGTGATCCTTTGTCGGCTAGGGTCACAAGGCTGGGTTTACCCAATGTAGACCATCAGGTAATGGCTGCGGGTTTCTCTTGTCACCCAAAAAAAAAAAAAAAAAAAAAGGAATTGTTCAATCTTGATTCTTGAGTAAGATTAATCTTGATTCTGCTTCATCAAGAACGTAGGACATACTGATCAATATGATCGTAAAGGAAACTATGACAGCCTTTGGAAGATGGGCAACTTGTTGATAAGGTGATTGCATATTTACTTTTGGGCATGAAACAATGAAAATATGTAAATGGTAAAAGTTTCTGCATATCATGACCCAAAAGCATAAATACCAAGAACCTTGGCCAAAGAGTATAAAATAAATAAAACTATGCAATTCTGTCCATCTTCTATTAAAGGAACAAAGAAATCACTAAAAATAAAGAATTCAGCTCCCGTGATGAAAGGCCATCTCCATTACCCCCCAAACAAACCTCCTCATTGCCGGAAAGTCCATTGGAAATGTCAGCTACATCAAGGTAAATACTAGCAAAAGCATTAGAATTACAATTGAAAGGCAACAAAACCCATTCAGCTTCTGTAATGCTCCGTCAAGTTAACAGCTGACATCCTCAATAACACATCATATATTTGGTTCATTTGTGAAAGGGCAGCACCACAACAAACAAATTACTACTGGACATATTTAAATATATTATACGGCCCTGTCACAGCATAACCTGATCATAGCACCTCATATATTTGGTTCATTTGCATCCCTTTAAATTATTCATCATATATTAATTCCAAGCTTTGTTAATTTAGTCAAAAGGAGTATAAGACTCAAAAACTGACTTCAAACAATTTCTCATTTCTATATTCCCAAATCCACGAAGACATAAATGTAGACCTCATTTTTCTCTCCTCAGTCTTACCGTCAAACTAGCGGGTAATCATCATTTACAAAATATATGAATGTGAAAACTGTCACACTGTGTAGTGTTGAGCATATATATATAATATATAAAACATAAATATGCAATCCAACTACCATCTTAGGCTTTTAGTTGAGACTTGGCACATGCTTCAATTTGGTGTAGTCAATGCCATGCCAAAGGTCATGAGTTTAATATTGGATCATCCAATAAAAATGATAAAAAGGGTCTATGGTCCTGAGCCCGTCAAAAGTAACTAACTTGGCAACTCGCAAATATATAAACATAAATTTCCAATTCAACTATCGGCATAGATTTTTAGTTGAAT